ATAATTAAAATAATTAGAATTTTAATTATTTCCAAACCTCCGGGAAAAATAATTGAAACTATTTAAATTAATTAAAATAATTAAATTAATTAAAAATAATCAAAACAATTAAAATGTTAATTGTTTCCGAACCTCCGGTCAACCCAAAAATAATTAAAACTAATTAAAAATAATTAAAATAATTAAAATAATTGAAATAATTAAAATTTTAATTATGTCCAAACCTCCGGGAAAAATAATTAAGAATAATTATAATCAAAATAAGTAAAAATAATCAAAATAATTAAAATATTTAGAATTTTAATTGTTTCCGAACGTCCGGTAAACACAAAATAACTAAAATTACTCAAAATAACTACAAATAGATAAAACAAATAAAATGAAATAAATAAACAAATTTTTAATTGTTTCCAAACCTCCGGTAAACCCAACATATTTAAAAATAAATTCGGAAAAGTAAAACAAATAAAAGACTAAAAATGTGATTTAGTTAATGTTTGCAATTTGTGAAATGTATACGGCTGTATACGCTGAGCTATATTTTCTTTTTTGTTTGAGAAACGGTCCACGACACATAGTACCAGTTTTTCTATCATACGGGGGGGGGCGGGGGGTATAGTCCTGACATATCAGGTAACAGCACTCAGGTCCTGGGCTCCCACCCTCCTTGCTAAAGCAAGACAGACTCCAGCTAGCTACAGCTAGCTTTCGTGATATGTGATATTGTTGTTTTCTTGAAAACCGATGAAAACCGGACATCGCTGCCCACCCCTTCCAAAAAAAAACACCGCTCCAGGGATGGCTCGCTGGTGTTCTCACTCTCCACCGTGGGTTCCAGGAAGACAAACTCCGGGTAGAGCGACTCCACCGGAGAGACGAAGGACAAGCGTCTCTCCAAATCTGTGGAGGCGGTGCGGACTCCATGGATCGGAGGTTAGTCACGTACATGGTCATGTTGTCGGATTGGTTCATATTCTAATCCAGGATGATTGTAACGTAGAAGACAGAAGCCACACTTCACTACTTGGGAAGTCGTAGAGCCGTGGGGCATACACGATAGGATTTGGACGCATTTGGATAGACTTCACTGCTCCATGCATGGAAACAGCGGTCCTGAGGCTTTGGCTTATATATATATAGCTTATGTAGATACTTGCTTTGGCAAAAGGCTCTCTTGATGATAAGTCCTTTAGGGTCCTTTAGTCCTTTCGATTCTTTGATGATGATCAGGTGGTTTCAGAGGAGATCAAATGCCACAAACAGATCTATTATTACATATTATGGATTCGATGCGAAAAATCCTAGACCTGTGTGCCTTTGTGCCCCTCCCTGACACTACTGAACAGAATCAAGCGGGCTGCCAAGCTCGAAGGCTGGAGGCTCACTGCGTGCATCCAGTGGATCCACTCCATTCGCTGCTACATACACCCTGGAAGTCCAGTTCGACTATTAATAGTTTGACCGACGGAAGGTTTCAGGACATTCCTTCTTCCTCGGGTCACCGACCTCATCAAACCATTCTCTTGATAGTCTTTGACTTGCAGGGTACACCGCAGCATCTATCCGCAGTCCGAATACTTCACCTCCGGTTGAGAACAGTCCAGACCTCCCACCCCGCCCCCCCGACCCTGCGTCCGACGGGATGCGGAACTCTTCCCACGCTGCCGAACGACCCTCCTGTGGGGGGTTGGAAAAAGACATGGATGAAGTTGGTAGATCATGGTAGAGCCCAGGATGCCTGGCCCACCATTGATTTAAGATTTATGGTTTGAATCCCGGAGGACCCTGGTTTTACGATGGAAATGGATGAAAAGGTGGACATGTTGCGTAGTTTTCAAGATCCCGGTCAATGCCGTCCAGATCCGATCAAGCCTGAGTGGCTTGATGCAGCCTTGGCACCACGGGTGAAAGGAACACCTCCACTAGCAGTGGATCCAAGTTCGTTTTCGCAAGAATCTGGGTGGTGTGATTCTTGAAGGGAGACCCCTATAATCCCCTATATATCAACACACCGGAGGGAAGAAGGAAAATAGACCAGGTCAAGCCCTTCGGGCCCTCCTACAGGACAACAGGAGGACACGGGACACAGCGCTCACCCAGAGACTGTGGCCAGCTTCCTTTTTTCCTAAGAGAACTCCAACAGTAAACTGTTTGGGAAATAGATGTACCGATGCTAGATCTTCCTATGCAAAAATTCTCTGCCTGTTGGCTGGTTTTATAGATGAACAATCATAAATCAGAGTTGGAAGATCCAGGTATATACCTGGACCATCCAATGGTGGTAGTCCATTGGTAACCCATTGGATAGTCCTGGTATATCAAATTTGAAGACCAAAAACAAGAAACTCACTCTAAACAACCTCCAAGAACGAGAACATTGAACTGATTGATCCACGGGTCTCTTCACATTGCAATGATGGAAGAAACATGGCGGTTCAAAGCGGAGATTCTGAGTTCTCTGACTCGTGCTGTGTAAAGACTAAGCTCTTTCGATTAGGACCTCAGTTTCTCCGAATCTGACTGCTTAGTAGCCGAGGCTAGCTGAGGGTGGTGGATACCCCCGAAGAAGAGAAAGCTTTGGATCCATTCCCTGAAAGCGTGCGCCAAACACATCGGTGTGGAACGCGTCGTGGTACTGGGTTTCCTGGTACTTCACGTGTGCTGCGGGCAAGCATGCGGGCGCTTGCGCCCGCGGGCGGAGCGGGGTGTTGGGCGGCAGGTCCCAACCAAAAATAAGACAGTGCTATGGAAAAGATACAAATCATATGAAAAGGGTGGATGGGTACCAAAATGCTTAAGAATTGGAGATGGTTCGATGCTCCCGCGTTTTGGCCAGGAAAACCCCATGGATTTTCCAGTTTTGAGTGCCCAAAGGAGGCCACGATCTCTGCAGCTTGGCCGCTTCAGGATCTACAAAGGCTGCCTCCGGGATCGCTCACGTTCAAGGGCTTGACCGTGGGGTATGCAGAGGTATGCTTCAGGGAATGCTTCTCTGGAAATCCTTTCCAGAACCCTCTGAACAGAAAATAAAGAGGAAAAAAAACATGAAACTGAGGATGCCCATTGCTACATGCACATGTCTTTTTATTGTCCGGGTTACGAAAGCACTCTCTGACTCTGAAAAGTACTCCGAAGGCAACACCTAGGACCTAGGGGTGGGACCCACATGCTGTTGGCTTGAGTCTGCTGGAATTCTTGAGTTCAAGGCAGAATAGACCTTCTGGGCCCCTGGAAGGGGGGGAAAACAGACCAGTCTCATTGGTTGGGGATCGCAACTGACAAATCCACTCAAGGCAGCCCAAACAATCTCCCGGCCTTGGCTGATGTGTCCAGCCTGGCTCCGTGGCTTGTCTGTCTCAAGCCAGGAATGTGCGCATTGCCGGACTTCTTCTCTCGTCTCAGGATACAACCGGCTCAATTTTACAAAACAGAGCCGTGCCGCCATATCCTGCCATGGCCGGAAAAATATTACAAAATATCCACATTTCTTGTGACTGTTCGTGGTTCTTTTGGGAGTTCACATTCCCACATTTTGTTGGGAGGAAAAACTGAAGGAAGAACTCTGGCAGCCAGTTGGAGAATACCGTCACCATCGGATCTTGAAGCATTCACCCTGGGAATCCAGTCGACTATTCGGTCTGACGACAGCTAATCTTTGGAGTGTCCTGAACAATTCGGTGGTCCCAAAAATCGTCTCAAAGTTTAGTGTTGTCTCGATGTCCAACTTGTTCCATCCTTCGAAAATCAAGCAGCACAGCTTGCAAACGCACCCCAATGGGATCTTTCGTGTGTTTCGAAGGTGTCTGGGGTAGATAAACAGGGTCAGAAATGGTCAGAGTGCCTTAGTACCTTCGGTTGGGATGTATAGTTAGTCAATATGAGTCAGCAACAAAACCACATCCTCGTCGAGCTGTGGTGCAGTGTGGTCTTCAATGGAACGCCCTACACCAAAGAATTAGTGCTTTCTTTGGGCACTCCTGGTCCCTTTGCATCGCAACCGTCCCTGCGCCTCGCCGACTTGGAGCTGCTCTCATCGTTTTGCTGCTCAGAGCTGCGCTGCGCCCACCACCTGTGCTGCGCGAGCGGAGTTCATCCTGCCGGGATCCAGGCAAACCACTAATGAGTAAGTAACAAAGGGCATCGCTACTAGGAGAAAAGACGCTACGTTCGGGGCTCCTGGCATCGAGCAAAGACGCTACATTCGGGGCTCCTGGCCTTACTACCAGGAACAAGAAGCTACTAGGAGCGAATCGAAAGACATCCAGGAGTTTCATGTCGGGGTGCTATCCTTCGATGTTAGGGGTGCCCCTGTCACATCCACTCACTGGAAGGGACTAAACACCATTCATCCTCGAGCAACTCATTCTACCAGGACCATCCTGGACCTAGGTGTCCTGGCTGGACTCCCCAGCCCACTGCTATCCGGGATCTCCAGACAGCACACCCCCTCTTCCATGGTCCAGATAGGTAACCAGAGACTTCCAAAGACTTCCACCATGTTTTCCATCTGCTTCTCGACTTTCTAGGGATATTGACCGATCAACTCCAGGGGGTGGTGGATGGACCAGGGCTCTATCTCTGTCCATCGGCGAGGTCTTCCTTGTTCGGGATCAATATATCAATTTACCCTGGGTTTTGGATCGGTACACACCTCCAGTGCTTGCGTCAATGTTGGGGATTGGATTGGGGTACAGTTCACTCAGTGCTACTGGAACACCTGGCAGTCCAGCTGACTGACCATTCAAAAAAAAATCGTCTGACAGTCTGACGACAGCTGGCTCGACGTTCGGGACAATTTCTGAACGTTGGTGGTCCCCAAACACCAACCTCGTGGTCTTTCGCACCCAACATACCTTCACTCGTCGTTCAGGTGCAGCTTTTTTGTCCCCGAGCTCCGGAAGGCCTGAAAACAACAACACGCCCGTTTCGCCGTTTGGCGCGTTTGGGGTGGTTCGACCGAGGAGCCGAGGCCGAGTCGGGGGGGGTTTGGAACTGCTGGGGCATCGCGACTGCTGGGCATCGCTGGTCTCATCGCGGTGGGTTTTTTGGGTGGGGAAAAAAACACGCATGTTTATGGCCCATCCACGGATGAACATGATGAACGTGCTTCAAAAAAACATGGCATAAACACCATTTAAAGTATCGTCTTCCCAGAATGTTGGGTCAACTTCACTTCCGGATGAGATGGCTTTCGATGTTTTTGGGGATAGAGGTGCATTTAGATGGTACATCCTCAGAAGATACAAACGGACCATCCTGAACCCTGTGAGATCTGGCACCTGGAAGCTTCTGCGCGAGACAGCTCCACCTGAGACCGAAGAAAGAACGCAGTTACTGCTACTTGCGGCATCAGGGTGTCCACGATGCACAACCCCTCCAACAAGTTTGTTGAATCCCCTCTGTCGCATTTGACACTTCAGATCACTTCCGTGTCAAAGCCCAGAAAAATACAGTAGCCGACCTTGCTCTGCTTTTTGTGTGGGCACCGATCGACCTTTGTCAGTTCAATAGCCGAGCAATGGGACATGCTTAAAGACGGCATTTATACATACTTCGGATAGGTCCCTGTCTATCCTTGTGATACGAGGAAGGCTGTCAAGAACTGGTGAGTGAGCAATTCCCCCAACAGAAGCTTTCGCCTCAGAAAGGCCAAAGGAAGCAAGTGAAGAAGGACGAATCGGAACCATGTTTGATTCATGGTTTACCCATTGTTTACCTCATTGAATCATGTGCAACTCCAGCGTTCGCCTCGCCAGACTGAGCGATGGCATGACGGTAGGCTGTCTGAAGTCTGGGCCTTTCACTTCTTGGAGCTTTTGGACCCATGTCCCTTTTGAGCCTTTCGTGCTATGCTTCAGGTCAACTCTAATGTAGACTCTTGAATTGAAAACCTCAGTTTGAACTGAAACACCTGTTCATGTGAGGTTTTTTCATCAAACATCATGATTCCTTTCCTCTTCGCCCCGCACCTCGCGGGTTTCCTCTTCCGTCGCATCTAACCTCCGTCCGGCCAGGTACGTGGCAGCCTGACGCGGCAGGCTCCAGCGCGCGAAACAAAAACGCGTGAGGAGATGAGGACGACCGGAAAGAAAGGAGGCGAAGAGCGGATGTGGCTGTCAAACATCGAAAAAAACAAAAATAAAAAAAACATGGTTGTTGAGCAAAATGAATTGGTTGGTATGATCAGTGTTTTTTCAGTAGAAACAACTATTTTTAGACAGCAAGGGAGCCTTGCAAGATGACATGCACATACTCACAGTGCTGTCTTCTATCGTAACGCACTATGATTCAAATCAATGAACTCTGAGTTTGACAATCTTCTCTATACTTGCCTAAAATGAATATAGACTAAATTTGTATTCATCTGAAATCCTTCAATCACCTTCTTGAACTTAATAGATGTCGACTCTTCAAACTCTTGTTTGTGTCACTGTCGCTTTCTTTCTTACTTTCCTTAATGTTGTTGAGATTATTGTCTAACTTAGTCTGCGTTTTTCTTGGCACATATCCGCCGACCCCGGCTGAAGAAAGGGGGAGCGCGCCAGGGATTACAGGTGTGGGAGTGCTCACCATGGATGCCGGTGCCTGTGAATCTCTTGTGGCAAGGTCTGTGCCGGTGCTCAGGTTCACAGGGTACGGATGGGCCAGAATGTACTATTTTTTTTTCTAGGGATCCAGACGCAACGTTTGGCCCCGAATGTGCGAGCAGTTGAGTCTGTTTTGGAGTAGTTTTTGGTGGAAATAGATTGTGTCGTTTACCAGGCCTCAAAACCCCTCAAACGCCTCAAACCCGTCAAACCCTTCAAACCCCTCAACCCTCCCTGGATTGGTACGTTCGCGGCACTCCGACACCGCAGCCTTTAGCCTGGCAGCGCCGGTGTACGTCATTCAAGTGCGACCATGGGAGGCTCGTTTTGGACAGAATTAGATTGGGAAAAGCCGTGGCGGGACCAGGTGTTCGGGGCCAGGATGACCGAGACAAATGGAAACAAACTTGTTTTTTTCTAGGTCTAGGGATTCAGACGCTGCGTCTGGCACCCAAAGTGCGACCGTGGGAGGCTTGTTTTGGACCAGAATTAGATTGGGAAAAGCTGTGGCGGGACCAGGTGTTCGGGGCCAAGATGACCGAGACAAATGGACACAAACTTCTTTTTTTTTCTAGGGATTCAGAGGCGGCGTTAGGCACCCAAAGTGCGACCATGGGAGGCTCGTTTTGGACTAGAATTAGATTGGGAAAAGCCGTGGCGGGACCAGGTGTTCGGGGCCA